GAATCCATAAATTGTGGAACTAGGGAAAATAGCAGAAATTGATCCACGCCGCAGCACCACCCAATCGATTCTTGATTAATTAAATGCTGAATAATTACTGGTGCAGTGTGTCCGCTCCAAACGACCCGCTGGTGTTCAAATAACTCCATGTTGATATTACGTGTTTACCGGGGGATAATGAAAGTCTAGCGATTAGGGAATTAGGTTGAATGATCAATGGTCTCGGTATTGCAGAATTCCTCAATCATTCATGATATTTTCCTCTCCAGGGCGTACAAAATTGTCATGCAATGCATTAATTTTACCAAAGAAAATTCGGAGAAAACATCTTTCGAGTCCATGCATGCATTGTCCTCCAGTTATCAGTCTCCAGTGATCGAAAGGCATCGACAGACGGTGCATTATCCTCGCGATTGAAATAAAACTCGGAACCTCGCGTAACGAACCCCAATGACTCCATAAACCCAGAAAAAAATGTCTTCATCAATTGAGGCAGTCACGAAAGCCTGCGATTTACCCGAGATACCGAGTCCCTGATATGACTCCTAAAAACTCCATCAAACGCAATCACCCGGGTATCAATCACCCATTCAGCTTAATCCCCTCGTTACCTGACACTAAACACGAGAAGAACTTACAATTGTAGTATGGCCACTCCAAGTATTACTACCAATTAGTCGGTAGTGCTCGCGGATAATCCTAGGGTTTGCAATGCCACCAGAAGCCTGTGGGCTCGGGATGGAGGGAAATAGCGGTCTGTGTTTGCATCGCGAGGAGAACTGTTCAGTGATGTTGATATTTTTTTCAAATTTCGCATATTCAATTTATATTATTTAGAGTTATTCCCTAAATCAAATCTTTTATGAAGTTCATAAAATTCTACTGAAAAGAACGTCTCAATTATTTTTGTATTGTCCAAATTTTAATGTAAATTATTAAGCAAATGTTTCAGAATTTATCAGTCTCAAAGATAAATGTCATGAATTTTCTTTATTCCATAAAATTCTACAGAAAAAAAAATCGGATAATCTCTGAATCTCGTTGCTTTTCAGACGGTTACAAAATAATCTCAAATTATTATACGTAAATTCTATTACTAGAAATATTAGGTAATTGTCGCTCCTAATTATTTTTGTCATTTCCACAAGTTTAATCTCAATTATTCAGCAAATATCTCAGAAATTATCAACCTCAAAGATAATGTCACAATTTTTTTTACAAAATCCCATAATTTTGCAAAATAATCTCAAAATCTTCCTCTACAAACATGATTTTTCTCCTCAACACTTCTCAAGATATTTCTCTCCTCACCCCCGAAAAATTTTTCTGATCGAGAAAAAACTATTCACCAACTTTATGCAATTCCATCTCACAATGAATTTCCAGAACCCCAAAAATTAAATTTCTATTCCCGAAAGAGTCTACAATCGTCGTATAGGTACTTCAAGTGCTCCCAATTATTCCCCATCCCACTGGGATAATCCCAGAGCCTCCAGTGCCACCACCAGCCTGTGCACCCCTGGATACGTGGAAATATCGTTGTGCCCCAATGCAAACCGTTGAACGATCAATCACGAAATTGCCACAGCCGCTGGTGGCACAGAACACCAAGCACCGACAACTGCACACAACGTGGAACTTCATACTAGCATCAACGGGGGACACCAAGGGGATGGAAACAGGGGGGGGGGCATAGCAATTTATCAGTCTAATCGTGGGAGGAAGTGATTCGCCCTGCTGTACCAGAGAAAGGACCATCATCCACGCATAGGTGTAGGAGGGAGGACGGTGTTTGGCACGTTCCATATGCCCAGGATGCAACCAGGTGTTTCCACAACACCAGAGCCCCCCCTCCCCCTCCCTCCCACTTGGGGCACACTGAATTGTTGTTTGGAATTGAGCACCCACGCGACACGCGATATCACAGCTGTCGCTCTTACTCTGATCGACAAAGTTTTGAATTTTTCTCCCGAGTTTTTTGTGACTTCTCTGGTTTGAGGTACTTCCGGCCTCTGCGACACACCGGAAACTTTATATTCGCAACCCCTTTGGGGGATGAAAAGAAAAAGAACGGGATCGAACAATAATATTGAACGAAATATGTAGTTTTAATTGAATGGGCAATTTTTTATGGTTTTTTGCCGGAAAATAATAGAGCGTCATTTTTTCCTGATTTTTTTTACAACTGAATTACTTTTCCAACCGCCTGTATTAATCTCAAAATTGCTTCTCGTTCCCCAGGCCATTTTAATATTACATGCATTTTTGCTGTTGATGTCATTGTGGAGCATAAAATAGCTGAGAATCGCGAAATGGCCGGGAGAAGAAGAAGAAATTTTGAGATACCTAATTTTTTATATGTAATCATGTAGTTTAATAAAAAACAGTTGCACGGTTTTTTAAACGAGTTCATGAATGAAAAAGATATGAGATGCATTTCATCTATTTTCTGATATTGAGAAGTAAATAATTCCGAATGTTTTGGCTGACGTTTGTACCATTGCTCGATTCTCAAATTGTTCGTTTCAGTCGTAGGTTAATAAGAAAAAAAAGGTTTTGAACAATACCATGGGGTAAAATGTATAGTTCTACTGGATTTTAGTAACTGTTCATTGATCTCCCGGGAACTCTCATTTTTTAATTTATTTACCAGAAAAAAAATCGAGAGTCACTTCTGACAGTTTTTTTTTTAATGTAATCATGTATGAACACACCTATTTCACATTTATACAACTATATGATTTTTATATTCACTAAAATGAGAAATTGTTCGATTTTTTGCATATATCTATCGATGAAAAAATACGCAATGTTTCTCATATATTTCCACACACTGTAAAGCATCTATTCTTTTTCATCTGGCTTCATTTCCCCGACAATTTCATTCTCCTTATTATGACCCTTCATCTCCAGTTATAATAAAACAAGAGAAGTAAACAATTCCGAATGTTTTCACTGAAGTTTGTATCTCATTCCTCAAATTGTTTGTTTTTGTTTCAAAAGTTCAAGTCACATGTTACTGGTTTTCATATTTCTCCCCTATTTTCTTCCATCATTACAAAGTTGAATGTTTATTATTGACTCGTTTCCCTCCAGCAACTGCACTCGTTGCTGTTTACTTCTCTTGTTGATGAAACGTTTGATATCACAAGTTTACCCAACTCGTGTCTACTCGTCTTACTCAGCAAGATAATTTCGAGATAGCAGGAGATAACTCTACGGATTTATATATACCACTAGCCATGGGAAATATCACTTCGGCTGAAGGAGAAATATCTCTCGATTCGAGTTACTGATTGAAAGTAACGGGGGTACGTGACTCTCAGTGGAGGATAAACTTTTATCCCAGAGAAACAGTTTATGAGAATCTGATGAATAAATTTATTTAAACAGATTGTATCGAAGCCTATTCAACCTCAACATTTTTTTTTCGTTTTCATTCAGTCTAAATGTATTTAATAATTTGTTTTACAAACAAATTTTTTCTTCGTGCAAATAAAGACTTCATTTGGAACGAATGGATTATTTATTTTATAGAATCAGCGCATTTTCATCTAAATAAATATGATTTTATCAATGCCTAATCAAAATATTGTAGGAATGAATAGAAAAATTCCACATAAATTGTTTCATTCGATTGGAATTCGTAATTATTCTGCATTCATCTCTATTTATCCCATTCAAGCTCAAACCTTTTTTGTTTTCGTTTTCTGTCATTTCAAATATCTTTAACAATTTTTTTTAGAAACAAATGTTAGATAAAATAACCCGATAATTATTAACCGGAAACAATCCTTCATTTGGAAGCAATGGATCATTTATTTCCCAAAATCAACACATTTTCATTTAAACTCCCTAATTAAAATATTGTTGAAACGAATATAAAAACTTCAAATAAACTGTTTCATTCGACTCGAATACGCAATTATTCTAAAATTATCTCGCCATTTATTGTGAAAATATCTCTCAATATCTCTCCAATTCGCTGAGAAAGAAAATACATCAGAAAATGGTAAATTGTTTAATGTGATCCTAGGGCTCGTTATGCCTTCCCAGTTTACATGGCTTTATGTACTCAGAACCCGCAAAGGGGAGTTGCGTGTTTGGCGACTTCACGCGACCCCATTCAATCACAAATGTAGATTGTTGGATTAACGAGAGGAAAAAGAAATACTGAAAAAACATTCTCCATGAGTATAAAAAACTCAAATAAAACCCACAAAACTGCACAATAAAGCCTCAATAACGTCAGTGTAAATGCGCGAATTGATCAGCTAAGCCGACGTTGTCACGATTAAACTTTATCCAGCGTGAATTTACTGATTGTATATATGCAAGTGGGTGGACATGCAGTGTTACTGGGTCGATAGGGATGCCCAGTCGATAGTGCACAAATGTGGAAGATAGAATTTATGATCCGGCTATGCTCCAACGAATTTATCATCTCAGGCTTGGGTGCCATCAGATTGCGGTTTAAAAATGTCTAAATTTTCTGGTAATTTCGTACGTAATATAACTCGACATATCTAGCATGATAAATTACAGTGGAAATTTTATTAAAACTTGCATTCATTTTTCGGAAATTATGAGTTATTGAGTATTTACGTAAATACATAATATATAATATATATTATATAATGTATATAATATATAATATATAATATATATTATATATTTTGTCCCCAAAAATCGTATAAATTTCATTCAAAATATTTTGAAAATGTCAGAAATTATTAATTTTCGAACTGAAGATCATCATATATTCTATGTAATTGATGAAATTCCACGATTCAACAAATCATAGATAACATTAGAAAACTCATAAAACGTCCACTCAATTTTCCAGATATTACTCATGATTTATTGAGTGTTCACGTGTGGCATTCCCATTAAAAACAAATTACATACAGCTTGATTAATGAATAGATAAAAGAATGCTGTCAAACAAGAAGAAAATGATAGAAATATGATGAAATATTTTTGTACTGTGTGTCACTCACCTTTTGTGCTTTGCAGGCAGCAGCCAATGGCAGTACATCATGTGGATGGGCAGCATGACGATCACGTAGACAATTTGAGCACGCGGCATTCTTGCACAATGCACAATAGAGACTGACAGTCTCCCCATTATGATCACCACAAATTGGAGTACCATCAGGACCAGTGGGCCTACTACCTTTGGTATTTGATTGCCAGCTGGCTCGGGGTGGGCCCAGATTATGGGCAGCAAGGGGACCCCTCAAGGGGTGACACGATTCTCTGCATTGATCACAATAGAGTACCTGGAAATAGCCCGTAATAAAAAATACATTAGTTTTGGTTGTATTCGTTTTCAACATTCGTGACCTTAATTTCACTCCAATCACTTAAGACGGAGAGATAATAATTTATTGAATTAAGAATATTTGTCATGTGATTAAGAATATTGTTTTCAGAGGAAGTTTTTTCTTGCTTGAGGACTTGATGAGATTAAAAATAGAAAAACTTGTTCTTGAAATTTTGTCATAGGAAATATGAATGATTAATCAACATGAAACACTCCATTTTATTTAATTTCCAAGATGCATCGGAAATTTGAAGAAAGATTGGATCTTGAATTAAATTGTAACCGTCAGCGATTAAAATTGACATTCATTTAGAGCTGAAATTCCAAGAAATTTCTAATAGTCCACCAGTGAAACAAAACCGACGAAATTTCACCGAATAGTGAACCTTCAACTTATTTATCATACAAAACCCCAATTGATGAATTTTTGTCTCGTTTCGTGAGAGTAAAAATAGTGAAATTTCATTCTTAATTCGAATGAAGAATATCTGTTCTTGAAATTTTGCAATCGGAACTATGAATGATTAATCAACATGAAGCACTCAATTTTATTGTATTTCCAAGATGAATCAGAATTTTCAAGAGAGATCGAATCTTGAATTGAATTGTAACGATCAGCGATTAAAATTGAGATTCATTGAGAGCTGAAATTCCAAGAAATTCCTAATAGTCCCCCGTCAAACAAAACCGCCGAAGAAGCTCCACCGACTAGCGAACCCTCAACTTATTCATCATGCAAAACCCCAATTGATCTTCCCATTAGACATCACCACTCACTATCGCGATGTTCGCAAGACCCTAGAGCCTGGACGGGTTAAAATCGGCTCTCAGCCCATCCGCTAGAGCGGTTAAATAGAAAGCCAATTTAATTAGACCGTTCGTATCAGTATACCACCGCAGCAAGGGTCTCTTTCCTCGGCTTTAGCTCACCCCACCCGCTTCTTTACGAGCATTACCATCGAACCTGACGACTAATTGAATGAGCTGATTAAATAGCTGACCGGTCTCTTAATTCCAGAATTTCCCAAAAATACTCTCAACATCAGGTAAATATAAATCAATTAATTCCTCTGGCTTATCGATCCCTTCATTTAAATAAATTCTACTAAAATCAATGTTTCGACTCTAATTGGGGTCCTCTCCGAGGCAATTAAATGAACCAATTTGTTGGGATGAAGTAAACTATTAAAAAACAAGCAGCAATGCATAATTTCATAAACAAAACCCAGACACAACGATGACTATGAAAATTGTATCTGAAGTTGGAGATAATGAAAGCTTCTATTATCAAAATGTCGAATTTTGTGGAATTTATCTGCATAAACTGCCCCACAAGCCAGAAAAGAAATATCATTACCATAATAACTAATTGAATAAGCTTATTACATCGCTGATCACCTCTTAATTCCAGAATTTTCTAAAAAACATTCAACGTCAGTTAAATATAAATTAAGTAATTCTTTTGGCTCATCGAGTCTATAATTATTCATTAAGATAAATTCTAGAAAAATAAATGTTTCGACCCTAATTGGAGTCCTCTTCCAGGCAGTTAAATGTATAAATCTGTTGGGACTAAGTAAATAATTAAAATGCATAAACTGACTCACAAGCCAGAATAATTCTTCATTCATCCAAGGAAAATACCATTACCATGAAAACTGTGACTAACTAAATGAGCTAATTACACAGCTGACCATCCCCTCATACCATAATTCCCCTAAAATTACCCCCAACATCAATTGAATATAAATCAAGTTATGCTTTGGATTTATCGATCCATTTATTTACACAAACTGTATCAAACCCAACTTTTCGGTCTCATTTCGAGTTCTCCTCATAGAAATCAAATACATAAATCTGTTAGAACAAAGTAAACAATTAAAAACCAAACAGCAGTGTATAATTTAATAAACAAAAACTAGAAACAACGATGAATGGCCTCTGAAAATTGTGTCAGAAGTTGGAGATAATAAAATTACGCAAGAAGTTGGAGACAATAAACCCTCCTGTAACCCCCTTGACCAAATCCAAACAAACCAACCGATAATCAAAAAAAATTCCTCGTCCACCAAAAGGAAATTCCGTCGAGGACCTTTCAAAAATCTCAATTAAATACCGTCCCATAAATAACCGGATTTTCCCCCCGACATCAGCCTGCTCTGGAATTCAAGTCGCATGTGGGTACGAGAAATAGTCAAGAAGAAAAAGTACGAAAAGTAAATTTGACAGGATTGATCGTACCTCGCACTGCTCACAGGCGACGCTTGCCTCCCTCGGTTCACCCTCGCACATCTGACACTGTAGCCTTACATTTCTCGCCTCTTGATATTTCTCCACAATTCTCTGCATAGCCCGGTATTTCGGCAAATTGTGGGCACCGCCCTCATCGAAATAAACATTTTTGTGGCACACCGGGCACGATAAACACAGGGTACCACCTGATGGTGGAAAACAATTGCCATTGCCCGGTGTACCTACGTAACTTCCGGGTCTTGAGCTTGTTGATGTACTGCTGCAGACAACACCGGAGTCAGTCTCCGAGAGGATTGATAATTTATCAGCCTCTTGGTCGGAGCCTGGTGCATTTGAACAGTCGGTTGTTGATTCGGGGGGTGAGTCTGGTGGTGCCTGAAGATTAACAGCGCACGATAGGCAGAGTGCATGCCAGCATGGCAAGAGAACGGGATCTGAGAAGAGCTCTTTGCAGGACGGACAACGCAACTCGTCCTCCATTGTTCACGCCTTTTATGTATTTTTTCTTTACGAGGACGAGGCCTTCCCCCGGGGGTTCGCGAGGGCAGTGAAAAATTGTGAGCCGGGGGGAAAATTAACTCAGGTTTTTTCCTTCGCTTTTGGAATCCGCGGAATTCGTGGGCAGGCCGCGAATGCACGTGGAGGTCGGCCTGAATTCGGATCCTGCGTGCAGTGGCCTTCTTACGGACCGGTTGGGGGGGGACTCCGTGGGAATGCTGTATCACGAGGTCGATTCCGGGATCTATTCACTTTTAATATTCATCGGGGGTTAGTTTTCATGCACTTGTCAACACTCATTGGACACTTTCACGTTATCAACCGGCACATGTCACTTGGCATTTTTGGTGTTTACATTTTTGGGGTTGTTGAGGGGGCGGTGACACTTGGGGACACTTGCACCGGGTTTTTGTTGAGAGCCAACACAACGCGGGACACGATGTCAACTGCGAACGCAGCGCAGCTGTACTGGAGGAGCGCCGGGGCCGTCACTGGGTTGACTGACTCCCGGTAGAGAGTCAAAGAACCGTCGCGCAACACCGCCACGCACCGCACGGCCGCGCAGGGGTGGAATCGCGGGGCGCAGTAATGGGGCACCTTTACGGGTTCTTTATTTTCTGCTTGATTCTCTGTTTCTGCATTTTTTGTTCTGCTGGATTTCTTTCAGGTGTAAATCACTTCGTGAGGGGTCTTTTTTTGGGGGTAATTATGAGGGTTTGGAATTTTTTGGGCGAAATTTAACGGGTTTGAGAGGATTTCTGAGGGTTTTAAGGAGAAATTATGTGAGAGAAGTTGAAAAATTGTTTTTGCATTTTACGCTGGGTTTTGAAAAGGACAAATGTTTTTTGAATAAATAATAACCCTAGTCTAAAGTAGAGGGGGGCAATGGGGCACTGTCACTATTTCTTTATTATTTATCTGATTCTCGATTTTTTATTCTAATAGATTTTTCTCAACTCCAAATCATTTTGTGAGGTGTTCCATTTTTTTTCGGGTTCAATTCTTAGGTTTTAGAATTTTTTGGGGGAGACTTAACGGGTTTAAGAGGATTTCTTCGGGTTTTAAGGAGAAATTATGTGGGAGAAGTTGAAAAATTGTTTTTGGATTCTACATTAATACAAAGGGATTTTTAGATGGGGTTTTGGAAAGGACAAATGTTTTTTGAAAAAATAATTCAAATCTAAAGTTGGGGGGGAAGGGGGCAATGAGGCACCTCCACTATTTCTTTATTATTTACCAGATTCTCGGTTTTTTTATTCTAATGGATTTTTGTCAACTCCAAATCATTTTGTGAGATGTTCTATTTTCAAGGTGAAATTATGTGAGAGAAGTTGAACAATTGTTTTTGCATTCAACAGTTTTTTCGAGTAAATAATAATCCAAGTCGAAATTAATGGAACCGGAACTTTATTCTTCACTTAATTTTGTTGTTTTTGGGGTCTAATAGATTCTGTTTTCAGTTCTAATGAGCTTTGAATTATGAATTATCCAATAAGAGATTTTATTTAATTTTTTTTTGTATTTAATTCTCATATTCGCTCGAGATACAGCGGAAACCACGGAATGGAAAAGAAATTGAAAAATTATTTATGAATTCAAATTCAATAGGAATTAAATTCTTGAATATAATTTAAAAAGAAATAAATGTTTTTTGAGTAAAGAACAATCCCAGTCTACTTTCTCGGTCACTCTAAACACTAAAATTATTTATATTCCTTACAAAAATCTCGAATGCGTGCTCGAATGCAGCGGAATACGACAAGATTTCTTCAGTTCTTGCAGTAAAACCACGTGAAAAGAGCTAAAAAAAATTCTATGAATTCAAGTTCAATAGGAATTGAATTTTCAACTACGATTTAAAAAAGGAGTGATGTTTTTTGAATTACGAATGATCTAAACGTAAATTCTGGGTCATCCCAAACACTAAACCTATTTTAATCTCGTTGCTAGAATTAGGATGACATCAACTGAATCCAAAATTAAATCCACGATGTAACTCCCTGGCATTTCCATTAAACCAACTAGAGTCCCCCGAATTTCGTGACACAGAGTCATTAGAAAAAACACACAAGGAAGTGCATAGTGTCCAGGGGGGCTGATGCAACAGTCCTCGTCCCTGGAAATTCTCATCTCTTTCTTCAAGGTGACGGCGAAGCGGGAAACTAGTTTGTGAAAGAGAAAAAGAGTCGGCAAGAAGGATCAAGCACGTGGGGGCAGGGGGCGATGCGAGCTGAGTGGCGGGGAGAGGGTACAGATGAAAAAGAAGCGATTGTGATGGTCGAAGAGTTGCGCTGGGTCAGGATACAACGAATAGAACAAGGGGAAACTCATGGGTTTGAACACACATGGAGCGTTTGTAAAACGAGTCCAGGTGCATTTTTATAAAAAAAAAAATATCACGGATGCAGCCGTTGTCTCGATTATCCTTATTAAAAGGAACATCTGACTATTCATGGACGATAAATCTGTCGAGCCCAATCAATGAGGATTATAAACCTATCGCAGGTTTTTTATTTTCGATTTCACAAAGAAGAAAAACATTGAGTTAAAAAAGTTTAGAAATGAGGATTTTACACAATAATTTTTTTATTTTGCATCTCACAAAGAAAAAATATTGCTTTGAAAAAAATGTGGAAATTGGGATTTTTAACAATCATTTTTTTATTTTAGCATTTCACAAAGAAAAAATATTCCATTGAAAAAAAATGCGGAAATTGAAGTTTTGCGTGACGGTTTTTAAATTTTGAATTTTGCAAATAAAAAAGAGTTAAAAAAATCGGGAATTGGGATTTTACATAATTATTTTTTATGAATATAAAAAATTAATGAAAGATATGAAAAACGTAAATTTTTTAAAATTAGAGTAAAATTTAATTTTCTTCCTTTAACTTGATTTTTTTATCCAATTGTCTTCAATTGGATAAGTACTTATATTTCATCATTTTGTCCTTCAATAGAAAAATTCATGCACCAATCATAATTTTTTCATTGAATTTCTCCCCGCGCTCGAACGAATTATCAATAATGCATATGTAATGAACAACTAGCGTGTCAGCGCGTGTTTTTGATCCCATGTAGTTGCATTAATGATGATCGTCGTCCCTCGGAATCCCTAATCATTCAGGCTTCCAAAGCCCTCGAATTGCTCTTTGCAGCGAATATTTCAGGGCATTACTCGGCTCATTAGGATCGCGGCTTGATCCAGGCCTCATTTTCCGAATTTCACGTTGGAATTAATCGGAGGAATCCTCGATGAAGCTATCTCTATTTCATTGAGGATTACTCGATGAGGTAACTGAATTAAAAATATAATTTGCGGAGAATTCGTTGATTGATTATTAATTAGCTTTTTGTATGAAAATTTTCAATTGCATAAAATAATGAAACATAAAAAAAATCCATTTCAGCAATTTTTATTTTCCTGGATTTATTTTTATTCATTTTATTTTATTTTTATTCACAAAACCTTTTGATGTTGAATAAAAAAAACTTCGGATAAAAAGAGGAGATGAAAAAAGTTCATCAATCCATTCCTATAAGTAATTAAATAATGTTGATTAATTTTTTTATAATGAAAAAAATTATTTACGAAAAAACTCAATAGATGGCTTTATTTTCAATGTTGAATAGAAAACAGAAGAGACGAAAAAATGTAATCAACCCACTCTTACAATTAATTAATTCATAACTTATAAATTAACTAATTAATGAAGCACTGATGAAATTCCTTTAATTTTCATTTTCAACAATGAGAAAAAAATTATGTTAAACCTTTGTCCTAGAAAATGAATCAGTACTATCATGATCACTATTTCAATAATTATCAATGATCCCTCAACACACTTATCACCAGAGACTCTCTCAAAAGATAAAATAGTTGAGTATAAATTCTCGGAGGCGCCACCTCCTCGGCAATGCCCCAGTAGCATCTCTCGTTGTGACAGGGTCACTTCATTACCCCAGTGATTTAATAAATTTCCTCGTAGAATAGTCCTCCAACCTGTCTAATCTAATCAGTGCATCACCCAGACCCCGTAAGTCTCCGATTACCATTATTATCAGAAAATAGTGCATCCACGGAACAGCATGAGCAAAAAAATATTCTCGTTATCAAGTGGGCGTAATAGGCAGCTGTTCCCTCGCACTACCAACGGCGCAAGCGCGAAGGCAACGTCAAAGCTAGCCCGGGTGTTACAAAGTTTTCCACTTGATGAAATTAATTTGATTGAATGTTGAGACGTAACGGAGTTTGAAATCAACTCGGCTGCGTTTGCAATCGAGGGAAATGGTACTGTCGAGACCTTTGATGCTGCTAATGAGCGATCAAACACGTGCAAATACACATGACACGTTTTATAGGATGAATTTGTGAGTGGGTGGGTGCAATTATCGAAGATTATTTGTTTATCTGAATGGAGTTGATTCAGATGATGAGGAGTTCCATTTTTTGAAGATTTTCCCCCGAGTTTTGGGATTCAAGTGCATTTTATGCCCTTTTATTATTGTTGGGAATGAAAATTGAATGAAAAATAGTGACACGTATTCTTTATTTGAATTCTTTAGATGAATAGTCAAGAAGTTTTTATTTAATGTTCCTAGTTTGCCATTTTATGCAATATTTTGCATGATTTACAATTTTTATGAATTTAATTCTTTCTCTGAATGAAGAATTAAGTATCGACTATTTATCATTCAATTTTCGCATTCCACAATTTCATTCAATAAAAAAATTCTGTGCATAACCCAACGGACTCCGCATGAAGTTTTTCCATTGTTGCTTCCGAACGGAAGCATTGCAATCCTTCGATTTTCACATTCTCTAATTTTTTTTAGTTAAGCATTTTAAGCCAATGGGTTTACTCTGAAATTTTTTCCGTTGATTATTTGAAACCTTTAGTAAAAGAGTTTAAAGGTTTTTTCTCGAGTTTTGAGGTTCAATTGCATTTTAGCCCCTTTTATTATTGTTGGGAATGGAAATTGAATGAAAAATCGTCAACACGTATTCTTTATTTGAATTCTTAGATGAAACGTCGAGAAATTTTTATTTCATGTTCCTAGTTTGTCATTTTATGCAACATTTTCCATGATTTTCAGTTTTATGAATTAACTCTTTTCTCTGAATAAAGAGATGATGAGGAATTGCATTTTTTTATTTTAATTTTTCGTTGAGTTTTGGAATTAACACCGATATGTTTCGTGATCTTGATTTCGATGAATAGTCTATAAATAAGTATCCAATTTTCGCATGATTTGTCGAATTGTTTTATATGTATTTTCTATTCCCATAAATGACGAAAAGTCATGAGCTATAAGCGATTGATGTCATGAAAAACATCACAAAGCCTTTTTCCATTTTCCATCGACGGTAACTACCGATTGTTCCTTATTCTCTCAGAAGAACAAAATAATTTTTTTTATCTGAATAAAAAGATTTGTAAATCGTTGAAATGGAAGCGTTACCATTTATACCATTATCATCTCCTCGTGTATTTCATTCGAAAAACTTCAACCCCATGAAATTGCGCACGAAACGTCACAATTTGTTCGCCCCAAAAAAAAGTAAAAATGTGAGTTATTTTACAAATTTTCAAAGTGATGATTTTATTCCTACCATAATCAAGATTAACCATGGCTGTGAGTGTCGTGAGATGCCTGAACAAAACACGTTTGAACCACATGGGCCTGATGTACAGAAACGCATGCACCTCAAGGTTAATATCTCCCTCAATCAAAATACTTTTCATCACTTGTGTGTAAAGCGAAATTTTACGTACGCTCCGCGTGCGCAAAATCCCGTTTCACACATTGCGATGAAAAATATCGTTCGATACTCATGGGAAAAGTGTTTTTTAGCTTGTGGGATTAGGGCAGGGTGGGGTAAAACGGACACTTTATACTTTTTTAAAATTATTCATAACTCAGAAACAAATTGATCAATTGAGCTCAGTTTAGGCTCATCACAAAAGGAAAGAATTGTTCTTTGCAATGAAAAAAAATTATTCAATTTCATCAACATTTCAACCCGTCATTAAGATTTGAAAGAAGTCAAAAGTGTCCATTTTACCCCAACCTCCCCTATCACTCGCCTTCGGCTCGTGCTATGAACCTCCCACGAGCCAAAAAACATTTTTCCGCACTTGTATCGAAATGTACAATAAAAGATTACAAAATCCTCGAGTAAATTGTCCTCAACGACTTTCAGTGCAGATTCCAGCGAAACTTACGATCTAGTTGTAGTTGGGGGTGGAATTGTCGGTTGTGCAACGGCACGTGAGATGTTGGAGAGGCACCCCCAGCTCAAGATCGCGATTGTGGAGAAGGAGAGTAAACTGGCAATGCATCAGACCGGCCACAACAGTGGGGTTGTACACGCGGGGATTTATTACACACCTGGCAGCATGAAGGTACAATGCAAAATGATACTTTATCATGTTGCAATGACCGATAATAAGTTGCGATGATTTATGCAGGCGAAAATGTGCGTTGAAGGTCTCAAAATGTCGTACGATTACTTTGGGAAGCATGATATACCGTATAAGAAGGTCGGGAAGCTAATTGTTGCGCAGACACCTGAACAGGTGAATAGGATCGATGAGTTGTATGAGCGAGGGCTCAAGAATGGAGTGCCAGGGCTGGAGATTATCGAGAAAGATGGGATTTGTAAATTTGCTGAAAAATGCAAGGTATTTTTTAAAATTTATTCTTGAAGTACTATTGTGAATAGTTAATTACGTTTTTTTCGACATTGTTTTTTTATAAAAGAAACGGGAATTATTTCCACTCTTGAAGTTGTTATTTTCTGCATCAAAGCGATGAAATTCTGATGAAATTCTGAACACGAGAAACATTATGATTTCGGGAAAATTGATTGTTGTAAATTATCACAATTTTTTAATCATTTCATTAATCTTCTCTGAAAAAATGATTTTTTTTAGATTTGTAAAATATTTTTTAACGATTCAAAATAGAGAATCAAAATTAAACTTTTAGAGTTTCAATCATAAAAATAAAAATCCGTTTGCAAATGTTGAGGAGGAATTTAAAAATCCAAGGGAGATATCAAATTGTTCATCAAAATTTTCTATTTGGTAAAGCGAAAGCTATGAAAAGAGGTCGTCATGAAAATGACGAGGAACTTTATTTAGAAACTATTGCAATTTTCAAATTATTTACTTAATCCCCAGCCAAAAATAGTCATTTTTTTCTCAAAACATTTGAAAAAATTCAGAGTTCTTTCATCAAGATTTTCTTTTTTATAAAACGAAAGCAACAAAGAAGCAATTAAAATTCTCCCAAGTTAAACAATATTCAAGCTGAATTATCTTGTGTCCTCCCTTCCCCATCGCCTAATAAAAAATCCAATTATCTTCCTGCAATAATCAAAGGGCGAAAAAGCAATTTGGTCGCCATCCACTGGAATCGTCGACTGGGGAGAAGTCTGTCGTTTCTTCGCCTCGGAATTTGAAAAAATGGGTGGAAAAGTTATTCTAAACCACGAAGTAACTGGTTTCAAGGAAACCAGTGAGTCCAAAGGGGCCAACAATCTATCCCCAATATCAGTTCTGTCAAAAAAAGCGGTAAATAGTGCTCCCCCACTGTTATTTTGACCTGTGAAATCTCTAGTTGCATTCACCAATGTTTACCCCAATTTTTCCAAGACTCTCCAAACAAAGTATGTCCTCACCTGTGCTGGTTTACACTCAGACCGTCTGGCAGTGATGACAGGCTGCGACTTGAGCCCAAGAATAGTCCCCTTTCGTGGTGAATATCTCCTCCTCAACGATAACAAAAAACACCTGTGTTCAACAAATATATATCCAGTTCCTGATCCAAGATTTCCATTTCTGGGGGTGCACTTCACTCCGAGAATGAATGGAGACATTTGGCTGGGACCCAATGCTGTTCTGGCATTAGCCAGAGAGGGATACAGGTTACTTATTCACTGTTACTTATTTGTAAGGAACCAAGGGAGACGAATTGGGTAATTTGTGCCAATGAAAAGGCTCGTGTTTTCAGGTGGACAGATGTTAATGTGAAAGACTGCATTGAAATGGCCAAGTTTCCAGGACTGTGGAAGCTCTGCTTTCGATTTATTGTTCCCGGTATGAAAGAGGCTGTTAAATCTATTTTTTATCCACTCGCTGTCAAGGATCTTCAGAAATTTATGCCTGAGATGAGTTACAAAGATGTCAGAAGGTTCGTATCTCTCAGAATACTCAATTAATCACGAGATTTGCAGGTGATTTCGCAAATTTAGTATTTACCTTCCCTTGAGATAGTTTTCTTCTGATGAAGTAAAATTGCAATTGAATTCTGGGACTTACAGAGGACCTGCTGGTGTCAGAGCACAAGCTATGGACAACGATGGTAAACTGGTTGACGATTTTGTCTTCGATGGGGGAGTAGGTAGCATAGGGAGCAGAGTCCTTCATTGCCGAAATGCTCCATCACCCGCAGCCACCAGCAGCATGGCCATTGCCAAATATATCTCCAATAAACTCGAAAAAGATTTTTCATTCTGAGGTGAAGGCTTTGAATACTCATTTAGACGTGAATTGTTGAATTGTGGTTGCAGAGTTGATCTATTAAAGCTGATGTTTTTTTATTGAATCCCAGGAATTCATCATTTTTCCTCGTGATTTCACTCAATTAATTTAAATAACGAAATATCAAATAAGGTACTAAAAAATTAAAGATTATTTAACGTTTTTCCACGAGACCAATTGTCAACGTGAGGAATTTATTTTGTTTGATGCTGATAATTTTCAATGAATTTCATTAATTTTTCGTGGATTCCATGATTTCAATCAATGAATATAGATAATGAGATGGTAAATAATCCTATATGTGTACAAAATTCATTATAATATTTTTTATTGTGTTTGAAGCTAATGTTTTTCAATGAATTCAAATAACAAGTTTCTTAAAAAATTGCGGGCCATGTTCCGATCAGCTGCAGTCATCAGTGAAGGATATTTAAAAATCAATAAAACATACCAATTTCGAAAGAATTGCACGACGATTCGAGCAATTAATATCTAATTAACAAATCAAAAATAGAAAAAACTCATAAGTCATTCATAAAAAACGATATTTTCTCACTATTGTTTCAATATTTTGAAGAACAGCGGCCTTACCAACTGAAAATTATTACAAGACGAATAACAAGATAACAAGTTGTTAGCTAATCTCATATATTTAAAAAGTCATCACAAAATCTGGCACGAGTCCATTTCTGGGCGTAAAAAATACATCGATCCCTCATTCATTTCGTAGTCATATATACAAATATTAACAAATTAAACTATTCTCACTCCCCTCGTTGATAACAATAGGCTTCTGCCAGCAAAGTCCCAGGCTGCTGTCACGTGGAAAGCCATGTTGGTCAGCACAACCATGTACTCGAACAGAGCAAACATTGAATACACTGAAAATAAATAAACAGAATTCACAGAATCACAATTACGGTTTCTTCATGACAATGTCAAGTGCAAAATACCGAAAGATTCGCAATATGCATTGTGTCTCCAGAAGAAATAACAAGCCATGAATATCGAAAAGATGTTGAGAGTCATTGCTCTCGTCTTGAGGACATACGACCTCAGTTCATTAGCATCCCTCGACGCGTGTCTACAATTTTTCTCAATGTAAATCGACAGTCCCATGTGGATCAGGGACATAATGAGAAAAGTGATGAAGGAGAGTTTATGAAAGGCTGAAAAAAAAAACAAAATCATGGGATTAAATGCGAAAATTTAATTAGCAATTACTTATCAGAATAATAAACTCCACCCTTGATTTAAAGCTGAATAAAAATAGAATCTTTTCAGCATCAAGCAAATAATCTAGGACTTTATCTGTAATGAAAAACCCACTGTATATTTTTGGAGAGAAAAAAATGACTCAAGGGCTTTTTTGGGGAAGAGTTGTCATCAAATCACACATCTCTCACCCCAAATTTACGCAAATATCAAATAAACATAATTAAATAAACATTAAACTAAAATCTGAAATAATTTCCTTCGCCTCTGTTTCAATCAGTCGACCAGTTATCACACCCTCTGATTAATATTTACTAAAACAGCGAAGAAAATTATTTCAACAACATTGAACAGCTTTCTTCAATTACCATAATTTTCACTGGAAGTCCAAAAGCTTAAAGTCACCAATGATATATTCTCCAGGGCGTAAGCGAACAATGCAGACCTGCTGACCCCCTCAGCCCACTTATGAACAACCTCTTTGTAATAATAATAATACATAGCGAATACTAGAAACCTGTTGACAGCCTGCAGAGCAATAGCTATCTTCCAGACATCCTTCTGAGGTTTATAATTCCCAATAGCTGCTGATATTGATGGTAAGAAGTTGTAAACCTGTCTCGTCCCAACAAAACCATAAAAACAATTTAAAAAATTCATTTTCGAGAATTCCAACACCTTAATCAACGCCACAATCGCATAATTCCATTACCTGGCAATGGGTGGACGTAGCATGCTCGAAATTATAAGTAACAGACCACAATATGCAAAATACAAAGGCAAAGAATGGTAGGGAAACTGTGAACCACGCCAATTTCGAGAAAGAAATAACAATACGGTAATTTGTGCTGTGATCTTCCCCAATTAGTAGAGTGTAATCAGATTCCCCTCGTATTTTATTCATTTTTCACTGTATAAAGCTGAAAACGGGTAAAATCCGAGACCTGCAGCTCCAGGGCCTCAGAAATTCACTCCAAGTTCACTTTAAATTCACTCTTCCCAATAAATTACTCAATTAAGTAATTAAAATCCGTTGATAAACTTCCCATCACACGGGAACGTTTCACTCCGAAATAATCAATTGCACAACTAAAAATCCCCTCACTCCATTCACTCATGTTTTCCCTGATCTCTCGGTCACTAGAATTTCATTCGTCTCTCATACTTCCGCAATTGGAATTTTTTCAAGAATATTAATGATAATGATTGCACAAGAGTCAATAGTCGAGTGTCGAAAAATTAACCTCCAACAACTGCCAACAACACGTCCCTTGTTGTTATTTTATCGCACGTTATGAGCTCGCCTTTTTGTCGTGAGATGGCAGCACCGAGCGGTGAAGAGAGTTTGGCTCCGATAATCAGCTGTTCCGTTTGTTTGCTTACAGACCGGAGTAAAATCGTTCGACTCTGTTGACATATTACTACAATTACAGATTTAATCACTGAGTGATCGTGCGTATATTGATCCGAGGGTTCTGTAAATAATTAAACTTCGAGTGTTTGTTTGGTGGGACGATTTATTTGTCGGTGAGTGCTTCCAGTGGGTTTACGCGGAGTAAACCAGTGATAGTGAGGTTATTCAGTGACTCTGGGGGATTTAAACTGAGCAATCAACCTGGATAAAGTGATTTACGGGAGTGCTGAAGGGCTTGGATCGTCTCTGCGCTAAAATGTAAGTAATGGCAGTTTAAATTAATGGGGTACGGGTTGATTTGAAGGAGGAAAAGGGGAGCGAAGGGGGATTTTTGAGTTTATTGGTGTTTTCATTGAGTGAATGATGAGAAATGACCATCTGGAGTGTGATAGGAAATCACGAGGCTATTTTTCAATTGTAAAAATCACGAATTGATATTATTCTCAAGTCGCACAATATTTTTTTTTATTTCCAATGAATGATAAAAAGAAATGGAAATAAAATATTAAGCAGTGACAACCAACGAAAAATAGTGTCTGGGGGTTAATTATTTATTAAATAAATATAGTGCTGAAAAATAATGATCAGGAATTGTCTATCGACGACTTAAACTATCAGTTCGTCACATATTCTATTCTCTACTTTTGAATTAATCATAAAAATTCCATTTCCATGCTTTAATTGCTAATTTATGGATTGAACTCGTAAACAAAAACTTACGATCAATTCACTCGAGCATAAATTCCGAAATGATATGCACGTGGCACGTGCAGCCAATTTCTCACCAATTTAACGCTGCACTACATCACTCAGCAAACGATAAACTTTTGGCTATACATTTCGCTCATTGCGGTCGTAGGTACCACTGCCATCGGTTTCTTCGGCTCTTTTTCTATTCATCTTACCGGATCCTCTGTTCTCCATGCCAAATCCAATACTTTACGTTCCGAGTGCAACCAGTACTGCGTATCAGGTGCAATCGATATATTGGGGAAAGTCAGAAATGCCTTGTGTTGCCAACTGTTTGGGTATCTTGCACTAGTAATCTGCGATTGAAATCACGGGGGTATTTATTCTGCATACATTACGCTCGGGCTTGTGAGGGGACTGCTCTAACATCGTGATTCGGGGGATTTATGTCATTGCGGGGGAACGATCGGTTGTCTCTGATTCTTGCGTTTTATCGGGCGTTTTGATGTGATATAGTCTCGGTTAAATTACAATTGGACAATTTCTGCATGATCGTCATGTAGAAATTACTATTTAGACATTTTCTTTGGGGATTTTTTCAGCAGAAACATTCATAATAATTGTCATCTGTTACAAGAATTATTCGTCAAGAGGAAAATTTTTTATATCAATTTAAAATTTTGTTTGGATTGGACAATTTCTATTTTATTATCATGTATGCATTGCTATTTCGACATTTTCTTTAGGGATTTATTCCGCAGGAATATTCATGTAAACTGAGATTTCCTGTGAGGAAAGGAATAAATTTTCGTTCTCGATAAGAGAATTTTGCAGAATTTCCAATTTCAATAAATTCAAATTCCTATAAATTTATCTGTCGCTTGATAGTGGAAAGAAAAATGTAAAAATGTGAGGAAAACAAAGTGTTATGAAGCCCGCAGCAGTCCTCTAGATATACCTCGCAATTAACCCAATTAATTCTCCGGTCATAAAATCTTTGAGATCTAAAGAGTCGAGCTCGAATAATCCAATAAGAAAATTGGTAATTGCATAAAACTTGGCAAAGTATGCAGCACTTGCATTATTTTCCGCTCGTATCAATACCTCAACATGCATTTAATAACTATCTGGGATGCTTGGCGCCTCTTCGAGCATCATTGGCCCAAGTTTAAGGCAGATATAGCATTCACGGGAGTTCTGCTTACACACAATGATCGTATGTATATTACCGGGACCATTTGCTAAGTGCTGAAACGGTTTTTGCTCGAGCGTGATGTGTCTCGGGGTCGTATGGTTCCTACAGATGGGATATATTAACCGAGAAGTGTGTTGGCTTCGGTTTTACTCGACGTGTTTAAAGTCGCCAGACGCATTGCGTCGAATACTATGCCAGAAAACTCGGCAATATTTTACGGAGAATTTATAAATACGTTATTTTCTGTCTCATTGTTCATGAGTGCGTTGGGAGAGAGTGAAATTGTTTTAAATGGAATTGAAAAATTTATTTTCCTTTGAAACTCATATTTATTACAATTGTTTCAGAACTTTATCAATTTATCAATTCATCCATTTATTAATTTATTCATTTATTCATTTATCAACTTTAGCCCTTTTAACTCCTAGAATTCTTGTTTTTCAATTCACGAAATAAGAAACAATTGTGGCATTTATCATCAATTTTTTCATTTTTCATTCGTGAAATAATTTCAATTTGTGTGAAAATTGATGAATTGTCAATCCACTTAGCTCCCCTGATGCTCTCGATGGATTTGTCAAGATTCTTTCATCATTTGTAGCACAAAAAAATTCAAATACTGTCGGCCAATTTTTCCTTTGACAATCAGATCCCATTTCACTCTGGAGAGGTATTCCAATTTACGTAAAAGTCCATTCTCCAATCCATCTATCAATTTGCATGTCTCCACCGTTGAGTTCCTACTCCAGCAACGGAATGAGCACCATGTGGCGGATCGTATTATTGACACGACCCACCGGTGTACAACTCTGCTCTATGGCAAGCGTCTGGATTCATATAGAACTGTCAATTATAACCGTAACCAGTGTCCTTGAGAATCATTTGCAGGAGTTATTTATATCTCGTTTGGAAAAATGTCCTTATTGTGGTGGGAACAGGTGCAAGATCGAGTTTCTATAGTGGAAGAGATCACTTTGATGAAGGAAATGAGATTTTTTACAAGTTGGCAATTTCTTTATGAACTTTAGAATTTTCTTCATCTTATTCGCATCAAATACAAAGTTTTTTAACCTAAACAGTTAATTAAAGACTTCATTTACATGGAATTATTCTTTGTTTGCGTCCAATTAATTATTTTTTATTCTAATATATAATTTATTTAGAAGGAGGGAATTATTTATTTCACAAAATTGAAAAAATATTGTTGAAATTAATAGAAGAATCTGAAATAAGGAGTTTTATTCGATTGAAATGCGTCATTTTTGTGGGTTTACAATTGTTCCAATTGATTTTATTTATCAAGATCGTGTTTCCGTAGTGGGAGAGACCAATTCGATGAAAAAAATTTGGCGTCCTTCACAACTTCTGAATTTTTCAATAGATTTTTTGCCGTTCTATTCACATCTAATGAATAGTTTTTGGAATATAAACCATTGTTTTCTCGCTATAAATAAAAATTGAATACTTCATTAACATCTAATCATTATTTAGTTGCGTCAAATGAACTGTTTTTTAATTCTAATGTAAAATTTATAAGAAATATTTGTTCTATAAAATGAAAAAATATCATTAAAATAAATATAAAAATCTAAAAAAAGATGTATCAATTTTAGACAAAAAAATATTTCTTCAAAAATCACTAAGTTTCGAGGGAAACTTTCTTGATTGTCAACAACTAAATTGATTTAACGCATTAGAGATCTCTCGCGAGGAACTTATACTTCGAAATATTCCATTCTCCTCTAAAAATAAACCTATGCCTACGCTTTGATTGTTTCGAGCTTTAATTATTGTCACTCCGCCTCATCCCTCAATCGAATGTTTTCCAACCTTTTTTTATTCTCGTAATAAGGACGAAGGTCGTGGCATCAAACGAGGGGGCTAGCCTATATGCTTGACAATAGACGACAAGGCGCGTTGTGGCATTGAGTTGCGACACAGCGAGTGCTGCTGAAAATAAAAATTCACACATGCACTGATGGCTATCATCTCTTCAGTTACACCTGACAATTTTTCCTTTTTTCAGAGAGGGAGCATCATTACCGAATTGCAAATATTCCCCTTAATTTCAGGGAAATTAACTTCAGATCATCAAATTTGTCAATTAAAATCGCGTGAATTTTTTTTTTAAATCATAAATATTCAACGTCAACGTAGAAAACATCAAATATAATATATTATTCATAATTTTACTCTTTGATCGACTGTGGAAATTATAACTAATATACCAGGAGGACAATTCCGAAACGAAATTAAAAATTCAATCAAAAGTGAATTTATAAAAAATCGAGGATTTTTCCCCTTAATTTAAAAAAAGAGTGGCGTTGCCCCAGTTTTCATCGTGATGTTCACCAAAAAATGGTAACATTCTTCCATTCCAACATCTGCAACAAAGAACATAAAATATATCACGTTCATGCTTCTTCCTCCGCTCCTTTCTCCTGAACATAAAGAATGCAGGAATGAAGAAATTCATGGCTCCATCCTTCCGGAAGTATTTCGAGTGGGAAGTCACTTTATATGCATAAATCTGACGTCTCGATACATCCGCGCTATTTTACTCATAAATCACGCCTCCTGACACGGAAAAATCATTAGAAATATCCATTAAGGATATCCATGTATCTTTTACAGTTTGTTACAGACCGCAGTATAAATTCAACCATTTTTAATCATCAAATTTGTCAATTAAATCGCGTGAAAAAATTAAAGACTAATTACATTTTCCACAAAATTATTTTTTTGAGGATTCGTTGTTTATAAATGAATAATTGAAATTGTTTAAACATGATTTTTATAGTTCCTCCTAAGGAATCGTTAGTTCGTCGTTTGTTCGTCCTGAAAACACTGCTATCATCTTGGATAATTGCAATCTTTAACTATTTTCTTTTAATTGATTATCACTCAATTTAAAAAAGCGCCACACGCGCCACACGCATTTGGTAGTGCTGCGGTTGTACTGGCAGACCCATATATAAATTTTGGCGTGTGACTCGCTGCGCATGACAAGCTGCCTGTGACACGCTGTGCATGGCACACTGCGCATGTCACGCTGCGTGTGAAACGCTGCGCATGCCATACTGCGTGTGACACGCTACGCATGGCACGCTGCGCACGGTAATGCGAACAGTCACGCCGAAAAAAAAATGAATTCCCACCGCTCGAGAAATCTCCCGAGAAAGGTCATCTGTAGGCCTCAGTATCTCGATAAATCGTTAATGGATCTGATGGAAACATGACACCCCATCGAACGGGAGGGGCGGGAATAGGGGGGGGGGGG